CCTTGACCCCTGCAGGCTCGGTTACGCGCTTCAGCATCCTGTTGACGTGGCTCTACATGCTGTCCTCGCCTCGTTTCACGCCTTTGTCCAGTGTCGGGATTGAAGCGGGTGAGTTTCTTCTAACTGTGTCTTGGGGATTTGTAGGTCGCGGGGTAACGGCAGCGTGGAGTGTGTCGGGGGTCAAGGAAAGCAAGTCGTGCAGTGGAGCTCCAGCATCAAGCGTAGCACTTGTCTGTGGAGTTAGCGCTGGCAAGTGACCAAGTAGCGACGAACTAGGGGCTTCTTGAGTTGCCAGCGCTACTGCTAGCGAGTACAATGGACACGTCAAGAAGTCGTCCTTGTCGGGGACAAGTGTGAGGCCTTATTCCTCGGAAGTCTTTACGCGGAGCAAATGCAGATAAAACACGCCGTCCGATGACACCGACACATGTTGCTTTTGGACGTAGCAGAGGTCTGATGATCGACCAAAGCAGTGCCACATCAAGCACGCCATGGCAGCGTCTTGGTAGTCTGTGTTGACTCGTGCATTGATGTAACCGTAACGTACTAAAGCCTTTAAATCCTCCTTAGTACAAAGAGAAGCTTTGTTAGTTTACCATCCATTTTAACGTTTTAAGCAGTGTTTATCTAACGTCTTTCCTTGCTTTAACAATATCAATTCAGTAGCTACACGCAAGTGAGGATACACATCGAATAGCCATAGCTTTACGTTTCTATAGTATGAGGACGCAGTGTTCCTTGCAAGCTTACCTTTCTTACCTTCGTAAATGGCCAAATAGAGACCAAATCGGTCCATTGTTGCCGCTAAGCGTTTGCCGGAGGTGTCGAGAAGAATGCTAGCTTGAACGAATTCCAAACTAACATGCTCCTCCTCCAGCATCCGCTTGAATGCTGCAATTGCAGTTGAGCGCGCCTTTTGCGTGTTCGTAGGAACGAAGGCTGAGAGGCTCATGCTGAGCTTTCTCTTCTGCTTTTTGAAACCTAAGGAGTGGCTGTCATCTATTGAGCTCCTACATTAGGGATATTCCTGCTTTAGTCTACACCTTTGCCAGTCCAAACTGGCGGTAGTGTAAACCAAAGTGGAATGTCCCGTAACTAGATTTTTTTTTTTTTTAGAAAATAAATTCTGAAATTTACTACACACCAATGTGGATTTAGTGTAATGCAAAATCCGATTACGTCCCGTAGCTCATGGGCTCGCTGCGAATAGCAGCTGCGACGGAGAGTGCGCAGTGGCGAGCCATCTTGTTGGCTAAGCGCAGATCAATGCAGGGCATGCAGTGGTCCGCTGCTCTTTCGAGCAAGCACATACGACGCTCCGTCATCTCGCCGTGCGGCAAGTTGAACATTTTGTCGGAATTCAGAGCCAAGTAAGCTTTGATGCGGGCCTTCAGAGAGCTGAAGCAGCCTACGTTATAGCAAAAACGTATTAGTTGATATAACGAGCTCATTTAAGTTTTACGTACCTTCGATCGGATTGCACATAGGGGAATAGGGACCGAGCCGCAGTAGCTCCAGATCCTCTCTGCCTTGGACCAAGTCTTCTGTTTGGCTGTGTGCGGGTGCGTTATCTAGGACGATAACAATCTTCTTACTGACGAAATGTTCCCTGTAGACATCTGTTGCCTTCACAGCATCGTAGATGTCGTCCACAAAAGCCGCATTCACTTCCATTTTAATGCTTCCACGTTGTCTAGCCCAGTGAACCAACCCGACCTCTGTGGAAACTGCACATTGCAATTGTAAGTTCGCGCCTTTAGAGGGCGGAAGCGTCACAACCGCACGCTGTCCAATAGGAGCTCGCCCTTGAGACCGCTTACAATAGAGATTGTAATTGGTCTCGTCATAGTAAACGATGAACGACCCCTTCCTTTCATGTGCTGCTAGGGCCTCACCAAATACACGTCGCTTTTCGATGTTGGTGTCGTTATTGCACGTTTGTGGCTCGATACGGACCTGTCCAAAAACCATTTACTTAGTACTTATATTAGTTAGCTCATATCAGTACGAGACCAGCATACCTGCTTGACTGTATACAGCTTATCGCACAGTTTCTTGCTGATAAGTGAAGTGCTTATGCGAGTGCCAAAGTCAAACCATAGCATATCCTGCATTTGCATCAGCGTATACAAGCAATTCTCTTCTAGGTAGTCTACTAGCGCATCCTCCATCTCCTCGGTACACTTTGTGCACGACGCACGCGCGCCGCCCCTCGTCTTAATCTCGGCGGACTTGCGGTCGATGATGTTGCGGGCTGTGGTTGGAGGGATGCCATTGTGGTCTGCAACTAGCATCCAGTCCCTGCCTTCCTTGTGAGCGTCCAGGATTCGCTTCCTGGCGGCAAGGCCGTGCTTAGGCTCTCTTGGCATGCGCGTGGAAATGAAAGTCTGGTTGTGGCAGTGGCTCGAAACCACGTTACACTAAATCCACGTTGCTCTACATACTAATTTTTGAATTTAAATTTCAAAATTTAAATGTTACTTTAGTTACTTCATTCCACTTTGGTTTACACTACCGCCAGTTTGGACTGGCAAAGGTGTAGATGTCCGAATTGGTAGAATATTTGGCAAATATTTTTTTATTTGGTTATTGTATTCGTATATTCATTTTTCTGCCTTGACTTCCATCAAATATATGACGGAAAGTGTCGGAGTCCAACCCCTACCCCTAACTAAAATTTTTAGCTAAAAGCACCGAAATAAGAAAGGTGATTGGCTAATGTGCTTATTAAACCCACTCTGGTCGTAGCTATAAAATTTATCTGTCGGAAAGATCACTATATTCATCCGTACCATAATCTATCCGACTGGAGGACCTCTCCGACCGGTCCCAAGAAAATGGTACACCATGCATAAAATTGTACAGAGTGCCAACACTTTTGACTGACAAACGCGGTAATTGCTGAATGATTAGGGGAGATGGGAAAAGATGCGAAAGGTCAGAAGGTCTGTTTTAAGCCTAGTATATAGGCGCAAGGAAATTGTCTGAAACGCTCTGTGGGCTGAAAAAATCAAGAAAAGGTAAAAAAAAAAACGATCAAATTGCCCGGGGCCATGTGCTTTCGGGCAGGTAAATTCAGTAATGAGTCCATGATTTTCGTGGCGGAGTCCACTATTAAGAGCATGCTCATGACCAGTCGCTGCTGTGTATGCCTATTGGTAGAAATATCTACCAATTAAACATGCCCACGCATAAGTGGATAGACACGTTTCTAGCTGTTGGTCAGCAGCCACAGAAAGCTGAAGAAGGCCACAGTAGCTCTTCGGTTCGGCCGACGAAGGGAAAATAGCAGTCGTATTTTTTCAGGCCGAACCCCCCAGACCTCCCAGCCCGACTCGTCGCGATTTTGTCCCTGCGGGTAGCCGCTTCCACCTGCGGCAGAGGCTACGCGATCAAGGAGGCGATTGACGTGGGTGTAGATCGTCGGCACAGCTGCGGCGGGCTTCGTCGAGCAATTGGCGCGCGGGGCGGTGGCGTCAAGCACGGCGAATACACTTGGGTGGTTCAGGACCTCAAGCAGTGGCGTCGCCGGCGACAGGTTAACAGCGGCCTCGATCGGGATCCCCGGCAAGTTGTCGATCAAGGCCGGTGTCGGTGCGGACTGCGTGATCAGGGCCATGGCAATCGCGTGGAGCGGGCACGTGACCAAGTCGGTGTCCGGGAAGAGCGAGAGCTTCTGCTATTCGGACGTTTTCATTCGGATGAAGCGTACGAAGAACACGTCGGCCGCATCGACGGACAAGTTTGGCTTGTGCACAAGCGACAGATCGGAAGCACGTCCGAACAGGTGCCACATAAAAAAAGGCAGCATCTTGGTTGTCGCTAGGGGAACATGCACTCTCATACAAATACAGCATCATTTTTTTAAGTCATTCTTTGAGCATGGTGGTGCTTTGTTAACCACCTTTCCGTCTCGCTTCATGCAAAAGCGTTCGAGCGTCTTCCCCATGCTAAGCAATTTTGCTTCGACAATGTGCCGTTGCACGGGGAAGAGCTCAAAAAGCCACATCTGTAGTACTGCATGGAGGTGTTCCGGGCAAGTGGTTTGCCCTTCTTGCCCTCGTTAAATGCAAGATGCATGTCATACTTATCTAACACAGACACCAAATAATTACCTGTACCATCCTGTTCAATGCATTGCTTAACATAGTTAAACTCAACATCTTCGCTCTTCACGACCGTCTTAAACACCTTGATGGCTGTTTCCTTGGCACGCTTGGTGTTGCCAGGTTTTAGCTCGTCTAAGCCCATTCTGGTCGGATAAGACGGATGGGCTGCAAATGTGTAAGTGATATGCCTTTCACTTGGCGTTTGTAGACGGATACAACTATTTTTAGTCCGCCTCCGACCCGATACGTCAGAATGGCTGGCGTAGAGGACTTACCACATCTTCCACATTCTGATTGGCTTAAAATAAAATATTGAAGAATTTCGATTGGGTCGAGCTAATAACAAATTGCTAATTGGACGATAATGAGCCCCCATGTCCCATAAAAAAATTAAGTGAGGTCGGATAATTCTTCCATTGCCTTTGTGAAGTATAACGCTAACTTTTTAATGGAAGATCGAAATATCACACTTTGCCATCAACAATTAAATATGTATATCCAGAATTAAACGATCATTTATGAAATACTACATTATAACATGAATATTAATTTAAATTCTTTGGTAGCAGCTGAAAAATCGGTAGAAACCTTTCTTTTTATCAACAGCTTTGCAAGGTGTCTCAGCCGTTCAGAGTGAGCCGAGGACGAGCTATCTCAAAGTGTCCACGAAGTACAGTCCGTGGCTTGAGGCGAGCTATAGGGAAATGATAAGAGAATGCCTCGGAAATGACGTCGAGCATGAGCTATAAGTCAGCTATTTTTTGTTTCACGCAACGCGAAGAGTAGTATGATAGTAAAGTCGTAGTGTATTACTGCGATAATAATCAAGAAAAGGTATTGTGTCGCAAGGTATAATGCGCAAGTGTGCGGTGTTCTTAGCCGACTAACGAGTTATGTGCCTGGGGCCACATTTTTCGTGGCCTTGCCCATCTCAACACTGCGCGTCCTGGCAGCAAAGTTGAGTGTGCAGAAGGTTTCTTCGCTGTTGTAGTCGACCGGACTTGCGCATGCCACCATGAGAGTCTTCGAGTCGCCACCAAGAGCATCCTGGAGCAGGTACGTCAGCGACGAGTTCCTGTATGGCACGTGCTTCTGCTTGCTCGCTCGAGCAGCAATGACGTCACCAAGAGCTGAGAGGGACTTGTTGATGTTCTGTGCTTCTTTAAGTCGCTGGCCCTCAGCTCCAGTCTTTGAAAGGCGCTCAGAGCCAGCAAGATCAACAAGGAAGAGCTTTCCACTAGCGACGACATTAGTGACGATGTTGAGGCTCTTCAGCTGGACGGAGAGGATCGAGTGGCTTCGACTACTGTGCTCGTTCATGTCTGTGGCGTGTGTACTGCGGTTCTTGTTACCACGTTTGATGAGTTCAAAGACTTCATTAAGCGTTTGGACAGGTACCACTATCAAACCAGGGACGAAGTTACCCGTGGGGCCTTGACGCACTTGCAGGTTTGTGCTCGCAGCGTCTTGTGCTAGTAGATCACGGATCTGCTCGTTGTAGATCTCCATGATGCTGACTGTGATTTTATCCTGGTACTCTTTCACACGTTCGCTCTTACGTTCAAAGAGCTCTTGTAGTGATCTCGTGTTAATTCCTGGGTTCTCTGGAGGTCCCGACATCGTGAACGTCTTACCCGAACCAGTCTGGCCGTACGCGAAGATGCACACACTGTAGCCGTCCAGAATACTCGTCACGAGAGGCTTCACTTGTGAGAAGAGTTGATCCTGCGTCGAGCTCATGTCGAAGACGTGATCGAACTCCCAGGTCTTCACTTTGCCCTTCTCTCCGGCCAGTGTGATCTCCTCAGGCAGGAACTTGCAGATCATCTTGCTGCCCTGAGCGACTTCGTTCTTCGAGATTGGACGCACACGACACAGCACGCGGATGTTGCCCTTGAACTCCTGCACGAGATTAAATAGCCGCTTGCGCTCCTTCATCTCGCGTTTGTAGTTATCCACGACGCCGGCCATGGCGTCAGCTTGCTTCTGGACACGCTGCATGATCTTGTCGGTCAACTGTTTGGCCAGCACTGGAACTTGTTGCTGTTGAGCCACGACCTGCGACTTCAGAGTCACGAGGTCCGTACGTTGAGCCTTCAATTGTGTGCTCAAGTTCGTGATCGTTGCTTGCTTGCGCTGTTGTCCCTTCGACGCGACTTCCAGCTTACGCTTGAGGTCCAAGATGGCCTTCTTGGCTTGCTCTTTGATCTTGTTGAGCTCGCCTTCAGCTGTCGACTTCAGCTTCGCATAGCGCTCGTCAGCTGTCGTCTTCTTTGCTTCACTCTCTTTCTTCTGTTGCTCCAGTTGAGTTTGCAGCTCAGTGAGACGAGTCTCCATCTCGCGAACCTGTGCCTGCAGTTCTGTTTCGAGCTTGGAAGGGCCTTGTGGCTCAGGGTTGGTAGGCTCTGGAGTTGCTGCTGCTCGGGCTGAGGCTGCAGCGACCTCCTTCTCAAGACGCTGGATCTGGGTAGCACCAAACAAGAAATAAAACACTCTTAGGACGGAATCTGGGTCAACAAATGCTAGACCTTCAGCATACCGTTTTCTGAGCGTCCTGGTGCGAGGACTCGGCAGCAGAAAGCTACAAGACAAGCTCAAGAATGTTACAAACGCCTGCGATCTGACACCAGGCATGCCATCCATAGCGTACCTTGATTTGCAGCGCTTGGATGTCCTCCGAATTTGGTGGAGGCGCGCTGGAGTTGCCTTCCGCTTTTGGTGGTGCTGGCGGTGGAGAAGCTGCTGCCACTGACTTGAGTGTGGCTAGTTGCTGCTGCATGTCTTTCATCTGGCGCAAGAGCTGACGTTTCTCCGCCTCCACACTGTCAAGAGCAGATCTGTTGACCATATTCTCTGGAGGAGACTGCGCTGATGGGGGCGATTTCGAGTCACTGCTGCTGGTCTTCGTCGCAGCTGCCTTGAGTGCGCTGTTCTCTTCGATCAAACGCTCCATCTCGGCCTTCATGGCGTTGATTTCACCCTCAGCGTCATTGTCTGTCGCAGCAGCCGATCGAGTTGACGCTACTTTGCCAGATTCTGGCACATTATACGACTCGAAGGCCACACCTGCCTCCTTTAGCTTCCGCTCGAGCTCCTTGATAACGATCGTCATATCCTCCACCAGTTCATCCTTCTGCTGGATCTTCTTGCTCATGGAGGTTTTAAGAATGGCAGTCTGCGACTTGCTGAGTAGCTGCAGCTTACTCAGAGATTCCTGAGCCTTCTGTTCCGCATCACGAGCGTCCTTCAAGTCGCGCTGGAGCTCCTTGATACGCGCTCTCAATTCACTGTCACCACCTGAAGTACCGTTACTACGTGACGAACCAACACCATTTCCGACGTCGCCATTACTCGAGGGAACTTCTTCTTCGTCTGAGAGACCCAACTCGTCCTGCAGTTGCTTCCTGCGCATCATATCCTCGTCGTCCTCATCGCCATCACCTCGACGACTTCTCTGTTGAGTTCGCTGAGCAAGGCGAGGGTCATACGTGGCTGGACGAGAGAACGAAGAGCTACTGTAGCGAGATGAAGAGTAGTCACGTCTGTCATACTCTCGGTCGCGGTCGTAGTCGTAGTCGCGTTCTCTGTCTCGACGGTCTCGCGTGCGATAGCGATCCTCCCTGTTGCGGTCGCGGTGCCTGTCGCGGTCTCTATCGCGGTCCTTGTCCCGATCCTTGGTGCCGTCCCGGTCCCTGGTGCCGTCCCGGTCCTTGGTGCTGTCCCGATCCCTGGTGCTGTCCCGATCCCTCGTGCTGTCCCTGTCGCGACGTCTTTCCCGGTCACGGCTGCTGCTTGTGCTGCTGCTTGTGCTGCGCTCATCCCAATCGCGTTTCCGATCCTTCGATCGAACTCGCTCGCTGTCGCGATAGCTGTACCCGTAGTCGTCACTGCCTCGATCGTCGCGACTACTTCGCTCGCGTTCCCGCTCCATATTTCACGTTAATTTACTTGTCGGCCAGAAGCAGTGAGTCGGACGTTGAAACTTGATGTGGCTAAAGCTGCGTGGGAGTCTTGAAGAGCATGGGAAGTGTCTTGCTGTGGTTTCGCATCTATTTTCGCGAGTGTCCAAAGCAGCGTCCAAAAACGCTGATAGTCCTTCCGCACCATCGAGGTCAACGGCAATAAATGTGTGGGGGTGAACGTGAAGTGAAGAAGGCAAAAAGTGAATTCTATATACCGATATAAACAAGAGAAAGATGCGTCTGTTGCACACTACGAAAAGTGGATTTTGTTAGCGTTGAATCGCTCGAGAAGCCTTCAGATACAAATAAAAGCATTGAACTGTTAGCACAAAGCACAACATTATGAACCGCGACAAAGGAAACGTACAGCAGGAAGTCGTCCTGGTCCATCTTGGCTCCGCGCTTTGATCCAAAGTCCTCGAACGAGAGCACTTCTTCCACCTTCTTCTTCATGGCGATGTCGCTTTCCGGGAGCTACGAGGATGATGCAAAGCCAGTGAGCTACTGAGAAACCAATCATATTGTCCGAAACGAACGTCCTTACCTCGTTGTTCAGCGAGCAGTACGTCTTGTAATTCTCCTCCAAGATCTTGAGAACAGATTTGGTGACGAAGCAAGAGTGCAGTGTCTTGTTCTTACGGTTGAAGATGATCTTGATCATACCATCCCACTCCTGTCATCCGCGATAAAGGTCAGATTTGACATCTCTAACAAGCTCTGCTACAAGATGTCTACACACCGTAAAGTTCACAGGCGGCGGCGGGTTGCGAGGCTCAATGCGCACCACACGCGACTCAACCTTGGGCGGCGGACGGAAGTTATTGCGTCCAACCTTCAGCAGCTGGTCAACCTTGGCCAGCAACTGCGTGTTCACGGACAAACGGCAGTACAGTTCATCACCGGGTCTGTAGTAACAGCCACACAACAACAACAGCGTGAGTGTCTATCACTAGTCAAAAACGGTCCAGCAATTGCTGCGTACTTAGCGCTGAGTCGCTTGGCAAACTCCTCCTGGAACATGACGACGGCGCAGCGGAACATGGGACGGTGGGCCAGCAGCTTGAACACGAAAGGCGACGAGATCTGGTACGGCAGATTGGCCACGCAGACGTCAAAGAACGGAAGTTGCACGCGCATGACGTCACCGTGGATGATCTGCAAATGGTTAATGTGCTCCGTGTGCTGGATGCGCTTCTGCAACTCCGCTACCATTCGCGGGTCGAATTCGACGGCAACTACGCGCTTGGCCTGTTCCAGAAGCTTCACTGTCAAGTTACCGGTACCAGGACCGACCTCGAGACACACGTCCGTGCCGCGAATAGCCGCTTTGGCCACGATCTGAGTCACGATCATGGGGTTCTTGAGGAAATGTTGGCCCAAGTTCGTGTTGGGCGTGGCCAGCGTACGACCTAACGCATTCTGTGACGCCGAAGCGGTGCCCACGTTGCGCGCGCGCTTTTTCTTGTCCTTGGGCATGACGGTGGCGAGGTATTAAGCAGCAAGCCAGGAAGAGGTGCTCAGAGTGCGCAAGGTTGATCCTCGTCACAGATTGCTGGTGGCCATTCGACGTTTTATTCCGTATAAGAACGGAGTTTCTATAGAGGAACAGTGGGACCCTTTATTTCGGACAGAATGATTGGCCAATAGGAGAGGAAGGCCACTTCAACATTGTTGCGATTTTTGTGAGTCGCTTTGCCTGAACACCTGGCCGACAAGGCCGATGATACTTAATAAAGTGCCTTTCACTACCTGCACCAATCGTATCTGAATGTAGATGTCTACATCGACACGTGAGTCCGTCAAAAACACTCTCCACAATTCAGACACAACGAAGGCGTACTACCGGTATACCAGAATGTTCATCAATCATACTTAGCTTATCAGCCGGTGATGAGCTGCGTTCTAACAGTCTTTTTTTATCAGCGTTGGAGCACGTAGAGCCCAAAGCGAATTGAGTTGAAACATGATTCTTCTGTCAATGTTGACGAAAACGTCCCGACAATTAGCTACTCACGGTATTCGTGAATCTAACCTGGCTGCCACTGTAATACAGTTGCCACTGCGTGTCATACAGTCTGTATGACACCCAGAGGCAACTGGAGAATTCACCAATCGAAGTCGTGACGCCAATTGTATCAGAGAAAAAAACTATACTTGGGGTCGGTGACAGATTCTATAATGTATCTCATCATTGTGGCATGTCTATACCGATCGCAACAAAACCCTGGCGCAATACTTTCGGCAGAAAAGTTTGCTGCATTAGGGTGCCTCGACCCAGCTCCCGCGCTTGCCTTCAACACTTACGAGCTCTACAGGAAAAGTCGGTGGTCAACAAGTTGAAGCCGTTAGGCAAACCGATTTTTTGCGACAGTATTTTAGCTAGTCACTGACCTCTGTCCTGGATCTCTTGTCTTCACACGTTGAAGTGAAATTGAAGAATTACGCGAAGGCGTCACATTCGATTTTTCAAAGGAAGCGTGGGCTAAACGATTTTGGGTGACTAACTTAATTGATAGCCTCTGTAAAGGAAAGTTTGTTATACAGGTTAGGCTAATTAACCTCAAAGAAAAAATTGCAAAATAAAGTTTAACCCTCAAAACCCACGAGGTCACTTCAACTGGCTCATTTAGTGGGCGACAATGCATGCGCGATCCTGATTCCTTCCGCCAGTTAAGAACGCGCCACCAGAGCCTCAAGCTATATGGCCCGCAAGAACAAGCGCCAACAGCAGCAAGAAGCCACTCCGACTCCACCCGCCGCTGAATCATTTTCGGACAGCAGTTCCGATTCCGCCCCGGAAGTCGCAGCCCCTGTCGCCGACCTCCCCGCGCCTATTGCTCCTAAGCCCGCGTCGCCACCGAAGCCGACGCCAAAGCAGCCAAGCCCCAAGCAGCTGCCAAGCCCCACCAATCAATCCAGTCCCAAAGCTACAAGCCAGTCGGCCACCGAGATCCTGGAGGCCATGAACGGAACTATCCACGTCAAGGTGCTGAGCGCCCGCAACCTTCCCACGATGGACTTTGGCAAGCGTCAAGATCCCTTCGGTCAGTCTTTCATTTCGCTACTATACACCTCTTCTGTAGTACTGATAACCTTGTGTACATGTCTTATAGTGCTGGTGCAGCTGGACAACTCGAGTCCAAAGTCCTGGGCGACTACAGACCCGGCTTTCCAAGGCGGTACCAATCCGGAGTGGACCGAGCGATCCAACAACGAGTTGGAGCTCTTCTACGATGCCAAACTGCAAGACAAGGCTCTGTTGACCTTTGAAGTGTACTCGGATGAGTCTGGCGACGAGCTCATTGGTTCTGGTGAGCTCGACGTCACCAATATTGTGCAGTCGCAGTCGAAATCCCCCACCCAGTTCACAATCCGTCTAAAAGATGTTTCGCGTGGCTCTGGCAACCGTGGGGAGGTCAACGCCGAGGTCTGGTTCGGTCCACCCGTGCGCAAGGCCTTCCGTGCCGCAGGACGCGCCTCCAAGCTCTTGGACGCCCGTGACGCCTTCGTGGGTACACTGTGTTCGATCGTCTTCACGGTCTACAACTCCGTGTCCGGCTACTGCCAACTGCCGACGGACTTTGCGAAGAGACACCGCAAGTTGAGTGTGGCTGTGGCTGCGGTGCTGGGCATCATGGCTGCTGGAGCGCTCACTGTGTTCCTGGCCGTCGCTGTGCCCACGATGCTGGTGGCTTTCTTCACGTTCCCGTTCTGGATCCTCCCATTCCTGACCACGTCGTTCTTCACGGCGCCACTGTGGATTCCCATTCTGCTGTTGGTTGGAATGTTCCTGCTGTTTATCGCCACGTTTGTCTTCGGACTGGGAGTCACGTCGCGTCCTGTTCGTCGCAAAGGTGCGTTCATCTCGAACAAGATCAAACACTCGGACGTTGGGAAGCGCGTGGTCTATGAGAAGACGCTGTAAGTGGCACACTGTGCACCACGAAGACTTGTGCTCCTTTATCTTTTCCAGTGTAATGTAGCGTGAAGCCATTCGATCAATGAGGAAACCACGACAACATTAAAACTAAAAACCAAATAATGATTCCAAGCAAAAGGTTGTTGGATTGAATGATCGAACGACACGTTCACATGTAGGCGTTGTGTTGCTTGACTGGCTTCTCTATAGCGAACGCTCATGGGGCTGGAACGCTGCTCTCCTGCTATTCCCTATCGTATAACTTATCAAATAATAATGTAAAAATGGCGGTGTCTTGGGTCGTGTATGATGACCTTGATGCACGATGTTTCTGAGCATTTCTTGGTAGTACTAGTTGCTTGTTTTGTCTTCGCGGGTGCGATCGAGCACCTCGTCTTCTGGCATTTTTCTTGGGCGTCATACGAGTAGAAGCAGGCGAGCAGCAGCAGTGATGGGGCATTGTCGCTTGGATCAGCCAGCTGAGCCTCGCTGCTTACTGTGCATGCACAGCTGTCGTACGATGAGCAGCAGCACGGCCACTTGTGCTCTTCTTATTGTCATGAAGACGCTGCATCTTCTCAAACTCCGTCATGACATGCTCCAGTTGCGTCTGACGCAGATTCACCTGCTCTTCCAAGTGCATCACCTGCTTCTCCTTACCTTCCAAGAACTCGATGAGGTCGCGCATTTTGCCTTGTTTCTCCTTCAACGACGACACCAGACGATCGTTCTCCGTCTGCACACGAGACATATTGACATTCGCCTCCGTCAGGCGTGTAGCCATCGACTTGAACTTGGTCTTAAGCAGCAACGTCTCGCGCGACTTCTTGGCCACTCGCGCCTCCAGTCCAGTCACTTCACGCTCCATGGACGACAGAGCGGCCTTGAGTTCATCAATGGCCTCTTGCTTCTCCGCTACGCTCTTGAACAGGAACATGTCCATGTCCAAGTGATGATTGCTCGCCGATTCCCCCGTCATTTCCAGCTGCTGCACGACCTTCTTGGCGATCTCATCGACGAGTTTCTGCTTCGTCGACAGCTGGAAGTTGAGTCGACAGATCTCGCGATCTTTCTCCATCACGGTGTTTCTAAGTCTCGCAACCTCAGAACAGGACATGCTATCGTCATCTTCAGAGAGCTCAGCTCCATTGCGCTGCAACTTAGCTATCTGCGAGTCCTTCTCTTCGAGGTCGTGCTGCAGACTCGACACCAGCTGCGTCTTGCTCTCCAGTTGACTCTGGAACGCAGCCTCAGCTTCACGACGGAAACTCTCCTGCATACTGCCAGCCTCCTCACTCAAGGCAAGTCGTCTCTTCAGCTCCTCCACGTTCTTGTCAGCAGCAGAGCCCATAAGTCGGACATTCTCCGTCTTGATCTTGAGATTCTCATGGATCAGCTCGTCCACATGAGCTCGCAGTTCGTTGATAAACTGCTCATCTTCATAAACCTGCGCAGATGCATCATCATTCTGCTGTTCCTTCAAGTGATACTCGACCAACTTGGCTACACGCGCCTGGTTCACGGGGTCAATGAGCCACTTGAAGTTTTCATTGTGCTCCATGATCCCATACAGAACCTCCATCACAACCTCCGTCGAGTTGGCAGCAACTGGAAGACTGGGCACTGCCACACGAGATGAGGACTCGGCAGTAGGCTCTCCTTCTTCAGCGGAATAGTAGCCACTCTCTGAGTGCAGCTCCAGGACGTTAAGACGCGCGTCTGAATGGGTTGAACTGGGATGAGTCACTACTCTGGACACTGGAGATTGCTGCTCCACGTCGTCTGCGATGCTCCGAAAGGGTACAGACTCGTCGTTGTCGTCGTCTGACGGCGCCCAGTCCATCGACTCGAAGGACGGAGTGCGATCCAAAGCCGAGCGATTGTATCGACGCAAAGTTTCGGAAGAGACCGAGTACTCGTCGCACATGTCGTCGTAGTATGAAGCCATCGTTGACGTCGAGGATGCCGAGAGATCAACTGTATTGGGCGAGGCAGAGCGATACATGGGCTTGTATGGCGAGGCAGCACGCACAGCACGCGGAGTCTTGAGTTGAGGAGAGACAGAGCGGCGAGTGTGGTACTGGAACGTCTTGAGAGGGTTCACCATCACGGCTTCTTTGCTTACTTCGACGGCTACTGCTACGGTCGTGGGGGTCGTAGGACGGTAGTACGTTACGGTGTCTGTGGGGTCCATGATTGCAGCGTTCTTACTGCTCTGCAGAGATGAGATCCACTCACCCATGGACTCTTGCTTGGTTTTGTGTTGACGCTCAATGGACGGGAACAAACACGACGCACTGAGGTCGTGGTTGTGGCCACTCTTGGTCTCTGTGTCGAGCGAGAGTTTGCGGCGTTTGGAGACGCCCTCAGCAGCCTTACTCTCCCCAGCCATCACCTGCTCCTTGAGCTTCGTGGCCGTCTTGTTGACTTCGAGAGATGGTGACATGCCGAGCTTCTGCTGGGCTTTCTTCATCTTCTTCTGCTGCTTGCGGAGTCGCGCGATCTGACGGCCATGAGTCTCCAGCGCGTCCACGAGCTCACCATCTTTCAGCACGTTCTTGTCCTGCTTACAGGCGGCGCTTAGCGCGGCCACAAGACGCAGTAGCTCGTCGCGCTTGGCGGCCATAGTAGTCGGGTCGGACAGTCCTGCAGTCACAAACGCCGGCTCTGCGACGTGTGTACGTCCCGAGGATCGGACACTTAACTGTCTAACTGTCTCTACTTGCTCCTCCTCCTCCCTTCTCGACGTTTCAAGGAGTGAACAGAAGGCAGAGAAGTGGACGTGACGATATTACGTCGAGATGTGTACCCAAGTCAGTGCCCACAGCCCAGACAACCGTGCGTCTTGCCACTGCCTTCACCTCGCTTCTCCCCGCCTACTTTAGCGCTTGCTCCGTCGAGGGGGTCGAAACCGACCGCGTCTGCTCGGGAGGAAGAAAGGGATACTGACCGCTCCTGCCATCAATTCAGCGCCGTCCAGCACACTGAATGCTTATATTAGGATGGATACAGTCCTACATTAGAAACGAATTGTCCTAGTTCACAGCTAAACTAGGACGCAACTGCAACTTCTGCCAGCTGCGATATAGCGACGTTTCGTCTTCCAATTGCGCTAAGTTTTCCCGCCATAATGGGGACTCGATCCTTCAGTGGCGCAAAAAGATCTCACTTAATCATGTGCGGGGGCGGTCTCATTTGACAGGGGAACTTGCCACGAACGCGGACATATACTTTAGAAGGAAGGCCGCCCGATGGCGACATGGCGTCAAGCTCGTAGTATTAGGCTTACGGAGTTCGTACCATCCTGTGATTGGATTGGGCTGCTCTTCAACTCTAACTGGCTTGCTCTTAGGTCTGCACTCAACTCGGAAGTGACTTATTACAAATTATTATAACTGCCAGCACAACTGGGTGGCTCCAATGCTTCTCTGTCATCGAGTTGAGAGCTCATTTATTCGCTTACAGCCTGTCCTCACGCACCCAAAACAATAAGCAAAACGGTTGAGTGTGAATTGTGCAATGAGTAATTACACGCATTGACACCTAAATAATTTCATGACGCTTTGTCAACGCTCTGCCTGCCATTCCGACCCTAAACTGCATTCTGACTACACGTTTCGGTGGCGTTTTATCATCGTTTTCTTCGTACCAGTGGCGCGATGCATGTCTTCTGCCTAGCTACTGTCGCTACTAGTGGGTGACGTACTGCTCGAGGGTACGCACCAGCTCCGAGAAAGATGGACGCAGGCTGGGCTCCCTCATCCAGCAAGACCGGATCAGTCGAGCGAAGAAGCGCGGGCACGAGCGCGGGATCGGTGGACGCAGGTCATGGTTTAGCACACCCAGAGCCACCTGTATCTGCGTCATGCCGTCGTACGGGCATTGGCCCATGAAGATCTCCCAAACTACGACGCCGAATGAGAACACGTCTGCCTTCTCTGTGTATTTACGGTTGCCAAGCACTTCCGGTCTGTAGCAGAAGCAAATAACAAAAAAATCAGGTGAGTGACTTTTCAAGATCCAAAATGACAAAAGTTGCAGCCACGTACGCCATCCACTGGACAGTGCCGCAGTTGCCAGTCATGGTCTGAATTTGCGCCTTGACACGCGAGAGACCAAAGTCCGAGATCTTGATCGAGTAGTCGCGCTCAACAAGCAGGTTGGGGCTCTTCATGTCTCGGTGCAAGATCGGCAGCTCGAACTGGTGCAGGTAGCTCATGCCTCGAGCCGTGTCCAGTACGAACCGTGCGCGCATCTCGTCTGTGAGTTGCCGTCGTCGTGTGCGTAGTATGGCCCAGAGCGAGCCCTGTTCCACGAGCTCGATGACTAAAGCTCGGTTCTCGCGGGCGAGGCACGCCCCAAGTAGCATGCAGATGTTCGGGTGGTGCAAGAAACTCATGATTTTCACTTCTGTCTCGAACTCCCGGACCACGTCTGCACTCAGATTCTGTCGGATCAGCACTTTGACAGCCACGTCTCGACCTTTCCACGAAGCCTTGAACACTTTGCCGAAAGCTCCTTCCCCGATCACACGGCCAACGACCACGTCTGCCATGTCGACGTTCTGGTGTGGCTGGAGGAACTGATTCTCCTTATCATCGGAGCAGTCACTGGCCACGGACCCCGACTCTGACTCTGGTTGCTCTCGTGTCATGATGACATTGGTCTGTCGACGACGATTCGAGTCCTTGTTGGGGGCGAACCAGTCCGACAAGTAGAGCGGGATGCCTGCCTGTCGAGCGCCATCCAGTCTCATTGAGTTGTTGCTGCCTTCGTCGGCCACACAGGACATGGGTATATCGCTATCAAAGCCAATCGGGCCACGTAGACTGTCGTAGTAGCCACCGCCACCCTCTTGGCCCAAGTGTCTGGCGAGAGCCACCATGGCGGCGTCCGCCTCGGCATGACGTTGCTTCTGCTTGAGATTCTTCTTGCCAGGTCGGCGCTGCATCAGCGGCGTATCGATGTCTGCCGTTAGTTCTGCAGCCCTCACTTGGGTCGGCGAGTGTGCCTTGCCATGGATGTAGTCGAGCTCCATCTTGTGGGTACGGATGGGAGACCCACACAGGTGGAAGAAGCCGCGGCGGTCTCCGAGACTTCCACGTCGTCTAGACGCGGACGCCATGATCAGTGCAGGAATGCCGGTAAAGGTGCTTGGGAGCTACAGAGCAGGAAGCGAAGTGAACCGCTAACGAGGCCTTAGATTTTTCGGCTTTTGACTTCCTGAACTGAAACGGTGCGCTCGACGGGTCTTAGCTAAGTTGACATCCGTTATCTCAATCTGATTGAAATACGCTGAGACACCTGGTGTTTGTAAGGGTTTGCTGAAAAGCCGCTGAGAAAAAAAGCGTGTTCGCTAAGTTGCATCCTTCGGCAAAGTTCCTCTCAGATACTAACTTCAACGTGATCAAGTTCGGATTTTAACCGAGTCATATGGGGCTTCCAGCTGCGTGGAACAATATGGGGCAGCTAACATTAACAACAACAACGGCAAGCACGGTTTGCCCTGCAGTCTTCTTCGCTGCTTTAGCTATCGTCACTTTTTGGTTGATTCGCTCGAGTACGAAGTCATCATGAGCACTCCGTCACTTGTTGGCCGTCACTTGATTTAAATCGCAGCTTGACAGTGTGACCAGTTCACATCTACAGTAGTGTCGGCATGCATCCATCGACAATTAATTCGCTACCATCTCGACTGAAAATTCACGCTGAAACTCGAATCTCAAACCTTTTTATAGTGGCCACTCGCATGTAGCCAGCTGGACATCTTTCGGTTAACACTCCACCTTGCCCATCAAGCCCCGGTAACGTATAAGATATCTGTTGCTTCTCTGCGAGATGTGGGTGTATCGAGCCAATGGAGAAGCAAGTTGGCAGAGATCATGTTGTGACTCGCCTGCTCCATGCATCGGTTGCAGCGACTTACATGAAAGTCCATCCTTCACGAAGAGGATTCAAGATGCAAATGCTTCAACTCGCTGATATTGGAACGACGTCGATGTCCTTTTCGCCACCGCTGTGCTTCCTTTGAGTTCGAGTGCATGCAAGTTTTGGCGCTGACTGAGCTGCGTCCAGCTGCAAGGTGGGCTTTCGATAATCAAATGGCCGGATGTCCTGAACCGTTTAGGTAATCTGCAAAGCGTGCTCGTGAATCACAAGTGTGATGGTATCGGGAATGGATACGGTGTCTTGCAAAGAGCGAAAGCTATTTCGAGAGGCAGCAGGTTACAAGTTTTTCTTGATCGCTCTGTCCGAACAGCAGAATGAAAGCACTTCGGTATCAGCATGATGTGCAAAGACTATATGGGCAATGCCTACACATGGATAAGCTGACTAAGCTTATCCATGTGTAGCTAGCTACCAGTTTTTCCTGAATAAGAATGCACGTATTATTAACATCGAACCAGAGTTCTTGTCGGACTGAGACACTACATGTACATAGCTCTTGATTCTCGGGTACAGGCAACAATGGTCCAAGCTGAAACTAGGCAATATTTTAGCAAGTGACTTGTTGGCGGCAATTGGCTCCTGCTCGAAGTGAAGTGTCGATTTATTCGTAAACGAACAGCTCTCATGAACGTGTACAACTGTGCTCGTTCGCCCCGTCTACAAAGTCGGCTAGAAAAAAAATCATGCTCGAAGAGAAGTCAAAGGTAAAAGCTCCACCAAAATGCAGTCAGCCCATCGGTGACAACGCGGGGAAGGCAGAGATTGCTGAGAGCCGACGTGGCCGACTACGGGTACGCTTCAACGTGAAGGCGATACGATAATGGGCGCGCCGTAATAGTCGATCGAGGTGGGTCCTTCTCAGCCGTTCTTCGGCGCTATTCTGCATTGTCTGTACACTTGTATGACGGGCACCCGCACTGGGGCGTGGCTGATGCAGCTGCTCTTTCCTTCGGACCAGGGTCATTCGATCGATCGATGATCAAGCGACATTGAATCACCGTGATCAAAATCAAATATGTACCAGGTTTAAAAGTTGTATTGCGGGCATCGCAGAATTGGCTTACATGTACCGGTATAATAATGCTGCGCTCGTTGGACAGGCTGTCCAGAACAGTACGAGAGCCTCTTGGAGAGGTGTAAGAGCTCCAGTACTGAACCTCTTCATGTCGTGCAGCGAATTGTCCTCGTCGTAAATATAACCCAGATAGCTGAAACAATAATACCATCACTGCATGTAGTCTCGAACGAACAGCCTAATTGAAGTAGCCAATAAAGTATTAATAATTGACACAAGGAATTGAAGAGCTCCGACAAAATGGCCCATCGGTCATTCTTTGTCCGTGTATCGGCCCCTCTTATTCCTCGATGCACGCTGCAACGTTGTGATACATAATTCGGACTCGCATAACAAGCACTACAGTTGCTCCTGCGGCAGCTGCAAGCGGCCTACCAGTTCCTTTCTTCGTTCGCCTTCCACAGCCTTCATGGGCGACAGCAGCCCCAGGCCATCCGCATCCGCAGGAACGAACTGTCTTCCACTATCTCAACTTGCGACGCCGGCTGGAATCCCACTGACTGGAACAGCTTCATCGCCGCGAACGAGTCGTTCTGCGGCACATTTGCGACTAGCGCTTGTGGATGTGTAGGCTGGTTCGCATAGATTGCCTCAATGTCCTGCAACACAACAAAACAATGTGAGCACACCAACTAGCGCAATATGCGACCACCAAGGTTCTTCCAACGCGCTCTTACCTCAACAACTGCGCGAAGGAACTTCCTTGCGTATCCCTGCCGCCGCTTAGGTTCCACGATGCCGAAATGCTCGATAAGGGCCACTTGGCTACCGTTTTCCTCGGAGACTGGCCGCCACCGTGCGACACCCATCGGTCCATCGCCAACTATAGACCCAAAATTCGACGCAATAACACCTCATTAGCATCTCTACCACCAGCTCCTACTTGAGATACCAACGCCATTCGCACCAAACGAAACTAAATGCCGCGATATCGGGTCGTCCGGCAGAATCTTTGCCATGTTGGGGAAGATTCTCTTCCTCAATATCTTGATAAAAGTCCACAAGGTCAGACTAGCGCGCTCCAAAGCTGCAACTGTACCAGCGACAGATTCGTCTTGTCCTTGACAGTCGAATCGCTGCACCGTAAACTCGAATGCCGTAAACGCCATCTACGTAAGCCAAACAGCAAGAGAAAGTTAGCATAGTTATCGCACTCGTATCACAGATAATAGGATGTAGTGGATTTCCACCTTGAAGCACCTGTACGTGCGACTTTTGCCAGTATGTCCGCAAATTGGGCACTTGACACCCTGAATCAAGCAGTAAACCCACAATTTAGCCACGGATGTCCATCAGAATCCAGGGTTCAACCCGCAGGAGTGCAGCTCCCGATCTCTTCTTTCTCTTCCGCTACACTCCTGCGACGTACTTGCTCATGGTTGTGTCCACAGACGCCGCAACGCTGCGGCATGGCATCGTCTTTTGCCTCCATTGCCGTTCAGGATATGTCAAACTCGGTCATCAGGTCAATTGATCGTGTTTGACAGGTTTGCACCAAATACCAATAAAAAGGTCCACCCCTCAAATAAGTATCCATCATTTAAACTCTGATGTCGCTACCTGACCCAGTAGAGGCGCGGCGAATCTCGGCCCAATTGGCGACGCTGGAGCAACAGCGCGCGCGAGGAAGTCTTCCGCATGAAGAAACGCCACTTCGACTGTACAGAGTGCGCAATGGAAGCTTCGTGCGCGTGCTGGATCGACACCCAGAGCCGATCTCGCAGGACATGGTAAGTGCCGAATACTTAACATAACGGAGGGTTGTGCTGCTGCTCTAACGCTGCTATTTGGTTTAGCTGGATGCTATTGATGCGTTTATTACAAGAAGCACTGATAGGGACGAGGTAGAAGATAAGGAGGCTGTTTCAAAGGAGGAAACGGAGAGAATACAGGATAGTAGTGACGTGGAGGCGAATGATGCAGAGCAGAGCTCATTTGAGAAAGAAGAGGCTTACGAGGAACCTATTGACGCAGGCGTTGCAATATCAACTGTCACTGCAGCAACAGATATGGACGGCAACGACGTTGAAATAACTCAGCCTTCGACTTTGGATGATGTGGAAATTGTGCCTCCGTGGGAAGCTGCAACTGCTGCAAAGATCCCGCAGGAGCTATTGTCTCGGAATGAACGCGTAAGTGACTGGCTAGGTAAGTCGAGTGACGTAAAGGAACGTCCGACAGAGGTGCAAATGGACACTGCGCAGGTAAATGGACATCTACCGGAACCTGTAGAAAAGGAACCGCTGAAGCTTGTCGACCATCCGACGTTGTATGAACAGTGGCCGCCTCAGCTTGAAGAGCGACGTAAAATGTGGTTTACTCCTCGAAATGCTAGAAGGAAAGCAAGTGTCATTGGAGCAACCCATCAGCCTGTTGTGTACTGGATGCACAACACTTTACGCGTGATGCAAGGGAATTTTGGTCTGGAAGCGGCCATTTTACTGTCACGAAGACTATCTGCTCCGTTGGTGGTTGTATCCTTTATACCGTCGTCCATTATCTACCCAGTCTGTCATTCGACCACAGCGAGCGATGCGTACGTGAGATTTTCGCTGGTGGAGTTGTACCAGCAGTTCTTACACACCGGAGTGCCATTCTTCGGTGTCACAGCCAATGAAAATGAAGTCTTAACAGCTTCTAGCGGCCAGCACACTCCCACACTGAAGCCAAATCCGTTGTATGAAGTGCTGGATGCATTTGAGCCCCACGTAGTGGTAACAGACGCCATGTTTGACTCTCCAGGCAGGAATGATCTGGTGCGTTTGGCTCGTTATTTAGAGCTGAATCGCTCGTCCTGTTCGTGGTCTCTCCTCTCGATGGACTCTTCAACGTGCTGCCCCGCTTATCAGCTTTCAATGAAGCTACAGGGCTCGTTCGAGAGTGGTGCGACTTTCGCTAGCGAAGAGCAATTTGGAGCTGAGTATGCGTCGTTTGCTCACTCTCGCCAGGGAACGTATGAATTCAGCCCCTTGCCTCGTGTTGCTCAAGATTCAATCACAAACCAGCGACGGTCGACGATGCTGTCCTCAGTCTTGCAGCGACTTCACTTAGAGGAAGTGCATTGGCTCATTGTCAAGGCAGAGAACTCGCAATCCAGCACGCAGATGCGGAGATTCAGCGAAGGCGAGGGGCTTCAGAAACTGAGTCAGCTTTTGTCAGGCTCGGATGGTCAACCAGCTATTCAAGCTGAATTACGCGGTGGAGGAGTTCTGAGTTTATTGCCCTTTATTCGTCACGGTACACTGTTTGCTGGCTATGTATTGCGACGGATAACTGAAGCCATCGCTGCATGTCCAACTCCTACAACTCCACAAGAACGAAAAGCGCTTGCGATGCGAAAGGTAAGTGCTGGAAGTGTTGCTTTATCGTTAGCTTTGGAAAACAAACGTAATCTTCTTGTCACCATGCTAGGTCATGAGATCTCGAGCGGTGAACCACTTAGGCAGAGAGCGCGACTATGTCCTGTATCTAGCACTATGGTCTGCTGCTTGTGGCCATTCGAATGCTTCAACGCAGTCAGATATCACGTCGCTCTCAGTAAGTGAACTCATTGCAAGTCTGAAGTTGTCAGCACCTCGCACGTCAGCTCTGTAAGTTAAACCCTTCGTGTCCACTACGATGTTGGGTAAGGTCGCTGATGTAGTTTTGTGTCTGGCACGTAGGGAAACATACCGGAAGCTCTTGCCTCCTTGGACATTCAGCGCTGCTAGAATCGGAGACATTTCTAACACGCAAGTACCAGGGGCTGCTCTCTATGACCCATACGAGTTGGAAAGTGCACGGACAAAGGATCCTTACTGGAACGAGATCCAAAAATTTCTAGTGGAACAGCAATACCTTCACCCGCTCTTGGTCATGTATTGGGCTTATCGGTTGATGACGTGGAATGTGTCCAGTCGAGCAGCTATAGCGGTACGAATTGACGACGTTGGGGTTGCTCTGAACTTTTATCTTATCTTTGCTTTTTTACTGTAGACAATCGATTCCCTTCTTCGTCAGTGCGCTCTTGGATCAGACAGATCTCCTGACGCTGTATTTGTCGTTTGGAAGCAGCTATTTCGTCTAGGATCAAACCAGACCACGACCTACTCAAGTACCGGAACGAAGACTCCGAATCTTGATGACCTCCGAGAGTTTCAGCGTATTCTGGAGAGCGAAATCGCGTCGCAACCGCAACTGCAACTACGTCCATGATCGAGAAGACGATGCAGTTGGCAATTATTTATTACTTCCGTAGCTATTAGCTCCTCGTGAATACTTCCACGTAGTAATACGCTGTGAAAATCTGCTTCAATGCCCAGCACAAGACCATTTCACTTGGCAGTTGTCCATTCGAGTCTGCGAGCAGATCGAGAGCCATTTGCACTGACATGCGTACGCAGTAAAATCTACAGTATACCGTCGTCAATGGTTGACATCGATAATTGTGCAGAGCAAGACTCACCTGGCGCGATTTCCATTTTCACTCGAAGTTTCGCCTCGCTAGGCACATTCTCGCGGAAGAACATGTAGTCGACACTGGCATCCCATTTCCTGTGCGTACATCAGAGTTTGAGGAGGGTTTTGTACGTAGCCCAAAGCTTCTTTTCGAGGTGTATCTTACTTGCCAGGGAACTGCACCACTGTGAAATCGCACTCGTTGCAGCGGAGATTAGAACATGCTCTGAAAACATTAAAATGGTTAGTTTCTTGAGGTTCGTGTTCGGTTTAAACACAGGAGAATGAATAGGCATGCCGTGATGAGAATGCGGTACTTAAGCCACGACTGGCGTGTCCACCATCCAGCAGCACTTGGGGGCATCTACAAGACAGCAAATTGGATCGAGTCACCCAGAGAGAAAAAGGCTACAAGATCGAAAGCCGCTTTACTCGCTTTTTATTGCCACCAGCTTGAAACTCGGTTCTTGAGATCTTCGAGTCGGGTGAATTGTATGCACCTGCTCTCGACGATGACTTCGGTCTCGGGTGCACGGCAGTTGGTTTGCTGTCTTCGTCGCCCAACATGTCTAAAAGATCGTCGAGATCATTTTTGCCCTGGGAGTGTCCTCGTTAGTGAAAACTTGTTCAACGTCATTGCAACAACACGCACTCGGCCTTTGCTTGAAGGTAGAGCAATTATTGGGAAGCTTTCTTCATCATTGGCGTACTTCACTCCTACTGTGTGGCCGCCTGTCCCACCGCCCCCAGATCGAGGACTTTTCATCGCATCCTCGACCTCATTAAGCAGATCCTGGAAGTTCATGGGTCCTCCTGACACCTTGTCAGTAGCGGAAGATGCGATTGTCCTCCGTTTCGTCAGCCTGTCGTTACTGCAGTAGACTTCGTCTATCCTTAGACTGCACGAAATGAGTGAAGTAGAATACATTTCGTGTTTATCATACCAAGACTATACTCGCCGATTCAATGGGTGCTGACGCTGTGGACAGGGTGAGCTTATCAGTGTTGCTGTCTTTAAACTCTTCCACGTTGAAGCCTTCAATGAGCTTTTTCCAGCCGAACGAAGCGATCGATAACAACGCGAATAGCGGTCTGAACAAGCAGCACTCATAGTGAGTACAATATCATAAATTATCTTTAAAATATAAGCTTGCGTACCTTGTTATCAGATCGAACCATCCACTCTGCGGGGCGGCGCCATTCACATAGCGGATATAGAGGAACGCATCATGCCGTACGCCGTCAATCATGTAGTAGTCTACAGCACCAGCCACAGTCGTGAGAAACCAAGACCGCATTCAGCCCTGTAACGCTGTCCGTACCTTGTAAATACCGCAAGTTCTGGAATCCGTTCTTCTCGTAAAAATGTCTGGCACTGACGTTATCTGCCTTCACATGAAGATAGACTGCTCCGCACTGCGGTTGGCGACAAGCTTGAGCAATGCATTCCTGCAGCAGCTCAGACGCGATGCCCATTCTTCTGACCGACGATCGAGTGCCCAGTGTCAAAATGTACATGATGTGTGTGTGTTCCCAGTCATCTGGAGAGATCAAGTCTGGGTCGTCCACTTTGCTTAGTGGCAGCGTGCTGGCCGTCACAGCGCCGAGAATATTCTCGTCTCGTCGGTCTTCCGGATTAGGCTGAACTGGGTTCTGTAAATCAGGCGAGGACCGCATTTCCACTGCCAGACGAGCGAATAGAGGTCCGCCCGTCTCCATCCACATGCCTTGAGCAGCGCCGTCGTAGAACGCCTGGTTGTAGCGGATGGGGAACCATTCCTCGTGCAGAGCTCGCACCTGGGGGATGTCCCAAGAGTTCAGGTCGCGGAAGTAGATGACGCGCTCTGGTGCTGCAGGTGTTATCTGGGCCTTGATGATGGCCAAGTCCTCCACTTCGTGGTCGATCTCTAGCGCCACGACGCGCGGAGCGAGCTCCTCAACGGTGTCGTCAACGTACGCCATGTTCCTCGAGCAGCTCAATTGAAAATGTCACGCCTTTCTTGAGATTGTGAGAATACTTATTTTTAAGTATTCTATGCGACAAAATCTGGGTCGACTGCGGAGGTCTATTTCCGAAACTGCCAAACTTGATCACCAGTATTTTAGGTCTACTTTTTGAAGAAGGACGCGATGGTTTTCAGTCTCTTGCCATCTGTGACGTGTGAAACTGCGCTAGTCGCCGCCTTCGTTTTGGCCTTGCTGTTGCCTGTGGCTTTGTCGGGATGCAACACGAGTTGCAAAATCTTCTTGACACCTGTGGTGATGCCTCGTTGCTTCATCTTCGCGACTGTCATCCAGCGCAGCACGTCCGACTCGACTGACAGCTCCGGCTGAGACTTAAAGTGCACGTGCTCGATGCCCATGTGATGCTTGACGTGCGAGAAAACGTGCGTGAGCTCGCCGAGGTCGCGTCGCTCAGAAAATGATCTGCTGGTTCCCGAGAGCGCAGTCTTTCCGAAAATGTCCGTGAGTCGGGAGTCCATGAACGTCTTCCGCTTGGAAAATGGCGGGATCTTGTCATCGTCGCTCATCTGCGCAGCACATCGATAGCAAAGGTCAATATTCACTTGAGTAGACCATTCTACACTAATTAACCATGTAGAAACGTACCTTGCTGTGAAGAAACTCCCATTGCCCGGCTAGCAGACCACCGTCGGGGCGCTTGGACATCAGAAACCTCCAGTCGGATGGGGAATCGCTACTCTCGACACTCGTTGAAGCTTTACGCTTCCCTCTTCTAACGCTAATTGAATCAGTAGGTGCCGAGACTACAGCAACAGCAATGACTTCGTTCTTCGAATTGTTCTTCTTCGCCTTCAGTGGATACTTGGTGACCTGGTTAAGAACGAGTGGTCAGATCTTTTAAATGGCTTTCAAGACGAAAGCTGCCAAACTCACCTCAGTGTGAGTTTCATCCCACTCGGTAGCACGCGTGTAGTCGCATATCGAGCAAGAATTGCTTGACTCAGTAGATGACTCTGCTGAAGTACTTTCAACCTTGGGCGCTGTATTTGCTTCTTCGTACGCGAGGCACACAGACTTGACAGGGCAGTCCGAACATTGAGGATTCTGCGATAACAAACACACCATTTGAGGTTTCTAAAAGTATAGCTGGATAGGTAAATTCAATGGCTCTACCTGAACTGTGCACATTGTCGCTCCAAGCTCCATCAACGCCTGGTTCAAAGCGCCGGGACGATCGCACTCTTCCACGAGCTCTTTTGCAGCTTTCCATGAATACTTAATCAGCTGCTTGTTCTTCGGATCGGCTCCTACAGCTCGCATTCGAGCCATCACGCGAATTACATTGCCGTCTACTAATGGCTCGCGGTTTCCAAAGGCGATCGATGCGATTGCTCCTGTTTAAATCCACACAATGAGCTGAGTGTCTACTGTACAATCTAGACAGTAGAGCTGGGGGCTACAAACCTGCCGTGTAAGGTCCAATTCCAGGAATTGTTAGCAGTTGATCAACTGTGGACGGCAACTCGCCGTCATAATTCTCCACCACGTACTTTGCACCAGCATGCAGCATCCTGGCGCGGCGATAGTATCCAAGACCGGCCCATAGCGCGTTCACATCCTACAACCATAATGCATTGGCACTCCGGTTTCTTATGTTGCAGCAGTTGCAGACGCTGTCACTTACCTCTTCGTTCGCTTCCGCCAGCGCTGCAACTGTCGGGAACTTGTCGATCCAACGTAAGAAATATTCCACCACAGTATCCACACGAGTCTGTTGCAGCATGATCTCCGACACCCACGTTTCGTACGGTGCCACCTTCCTCGGCTCCATTGCAGTATCACCATCCATGGCAATCTCGTCTTCCTCCTTCTTGTCCTGCTTGACATCCTCCACCTCCTTCTTCAAGAACGCAGCCAGTCCTGTCTTCGTAGAGACTGTATCCCGTTTCTTTTTCTGACTCGTGTGCGTCGCTGTTGTCAAGTACGGCGGCGGATCTCCTCGCCATGGAAGTTTCCGGCGGTGCGCGTCATACCAAGCGAGCAGCTCTGTTCGAGTGGTCAGCAACTCTTGTGGCCAGAAGTCATGTCGCTTCGCATTATGTTGCGTCAAGAGCACCGCGTACTTGTGTTTAGTAGCATCAGAAGCTTCGCACTTGATCAGGTCCTCAATATCTGGCTCACACGCAGCGGCATTGGACGATGGTGTCGCTGTCGGCGGCATCTACTCAAAGTGTTGAGCAAATTTGGCGGGAGTTGCCTTTTACAGTAGCTGTCACAATCCAGCATTTTTGGTGTTTCGTACACAAAAGCAACAGCATACAGTCGCTTACTATGAACAGTTCCCCAATCGACAGTAACCTTAGCCGCGAAAGGCTCTTCGATCGATGCAGCGCGTGGCCGTCTTGTCGCACGTGAAGGCGAGCTCGCCACCGAGTCTCGAGACTAGTAGCGCGCGACGCATTGCCTGGAAGGGCGGCAAGATATCGTCCAATAAGGAGGAGGCGCTGCAGAAATTCTATCAGCGCAAACTGCGGGCCGGTGACCACCTCACGGCGCAGCAGATCAAGGCCATGCAGCCGACGCGTATGTCTAATTCTCTTCACTCTGAGGGATAATTGACTCACTAACATTCGATTGCGTCGCAGTGGGCGTCAAGCTGGACCTAAATGCGGCGCTGAAGAACCCCAAGAAGCTGCACGCGACCCATCGCCCACATGCCAAAGTGACGGCAGGTGGACACCGCACAGTCCTCAAGACAGGCCGCGTGTTGGGGCCCAAGCTCGACTCAAAGCAGAAGGGGAAAAAGGCAGCGAACACCAGTAACAAGCAACAGGCTGCACGACAGCCCAAGATGGTCGTCAAGATGCCGCCAAAGCGGACGGAGAGTCCTTCCATCTCGCTGGAAGACAAACTGGATCTCCCACTGGATGCTCTTGTAGGTGGACAGAACAAACGCAGCAATAGCATGAAGCGGAGGTGAATGGAATGTGCAGAAAGTAAAGAGGCACAAGCTGCTCAGGGTTGGAGAACTCGAGGAAAGAGAGAAGACCGCTGTCCTGCGGCCGTGCGTGTGAAGGAATAAATACAACACTTGCATATCCCAAGAAGTCCACGCAGACTAGAGCGCGTTTCCTTCTTCCGCTGTAGACGCCCCGTCAGGTCGGGACAAGAACGACGTCGTCGGAGAACGAAACGCGATCTTCAGAGCTTGTAGCAGCGTCGATACCTCGATCACAGTGAGCGTGTCGGCGAACTTCTTACGCAACGCGCGACGTGTGGCCTGGTCGTGCTCCTTGGGAATCACACACACCTCCAGGCCAATTTTCTGCGCCGCCGTGAGTCGCGACTCGAGCATTTTTACTGGTCGCACGTGACCTGAGAGCGACACTTCTCCTAGGAATGCGGTGCGCTCCAATACAGGACGACCCAGAACAGCGCTGGCTAATGACACAGCCAGCGCCAGATCAGCTGCAGGTTCTTGGATCGTGTAGCCCTCCGCGATGTTCACAAACACACTTTGGTTGCGACAAGAAACTCTTGCCCGCTTCTCTAGAACCGCAAACAATAGCAACAGCTTGTCGAAGGCAACGCCTACGCCACGTACGCGTGAGAAGGACTGCGCTCCACCCCGTCCAGTGTCTGCGTTGTATTGCGTTCGGTTCGCTAGAGCTTGGATTTCAAGGGGGATGGGGCGTTTGCCTTCCATGGCAATAGTAACGGAGCATCCGTCAAGTGGTTCGAGCTCAGTCTCTTCTCTGGTCTCCGGATTCTCATCGTCCTCATCATGAGACGACACAAAGGCCGTGAGAGGGTTTGGCAATGGCTGGAGACCCTCGTCCGTCATGTTGAACACGCCGACCTCACTGGTGTTGCCGAAACGATTCTTCTGACAGCGAAGAAACCGTCGTGCACTTTGTGGATCACCTTCTAACTGCACTACGGTGTCTACGATATGTTCGAGCACCTTGGGACCAGCGATATCGCCGCTTTTGGTCACGTGCCCGATCAGGATCACAGGCACGTTACGCGACTTGGCCAGTCGGAGCAAGCGAAGAGTGCACTCTTTCACTTGGTTCACGGTGCCGGCGGGGGAAAGGATATCTTCTGCGTAGACAGTTTGGATGGAGTCGACCACGACAGCGCCAAATCCATGATAACCTTCGTCACCCACAGCACGTCTGCTCCCTCCTTCTAGTAACTGGAAAACCGAGTCCAGATTGGTCTCGCTGGCCACGAAGAGACTGTCACTCACTGATCCGAGACGTTCTGCACGCATCCGCACTTGTAGCACACTCTCTTCACCAGAGACATACAACACTCCACGTTCCTGCATGGCCGGTCCATTAGCTAGCATGTTCGCCATTTGTAGGGCGAGCTGTGTACACATGAACACCAGCACAACCATAGTATCAAGCTTGTAAGTGGCCCATCATTTAATACATTCAACGCGGTGTCCGCACCGTGCTCTTGCCGACTCCGGGATTTCCTGCAACCAGCGTCAACGAGCCAGCTACTAAGCCTCCTCCAAGCACCCAGTTCTGCATAAACAAGCAGGCGTAAGTAGCTGCAATTCTACCATCCAACACTTTAATGCTCAATCCCGTACCAACTCACGTTCTGGTAGTTGGATCCGCTCTACAAATGTGTCCAGCTCGACCTCGTTCATGCGAAGAGCACGGGGAGGATTCTCCTCAAAAGTCTCGTGGCTCGTTCTCGACCAGGCCACCGAGCGCTTTGGTCTGTTCTTAGTAAAGGATGCGGCGTTCGACTGCCGGAACAGCGGCTCGGAAGGCTTGGAGGACTCTACGGAGCCCCAGTGCGAGCAGGCTGAGCACTGGCCCTGCCACTTCACGAAAGACTGGCCGCAATTTTGGCATCGAAAGCCGTCGGATGAGCTCGCGAAGTTGCGCGCGTGTGAGGCGACGAGTTGGAGGCTGCAGTTGAGCTGTTCTCTTGAGGAACTCCGAAGGTGGCGGCATGTTGCCAGCTTCGACATCCACATCAGCGCACTTGTTTTTATCCAATCAAACCTGACTGATACCTCGAAGTATTGTGCCTAAATTAAGTGGTGAAAAAGACGGTTACACATCGATTGATCCGTAGCTTTTTATTGTGTTTCTACTCGAAATTTCGGATAGTGATCGATCTGATCGTGTTTTTTTTAATGCGATCACCACGCTTTTAAAAATGTGCCAACTCACTAGAGTTTGCTGTTTTTTATGTGGGCTTGGTTGTGAGTGTTTGGGGCTGTTTAGCGAGACGTTACGTGCACCGTTGGTCTAATGGTTAGGAATCATCCCTTCCAGGGATGAGGTCGGGGTTCGATTCCCCGACGGCGCAACTTTTGCCAGCTGTTACGGCATATTGCACCAGCTTTTTACAGCCCCGACGCCTCCACACACGTCCTACTGCATGTGGGCAACGCCTCCTTGGCCTGCTGACCACCTGGCCTGTAACGGGGTACGTAACCCTAAGTGTACCCTAGTTACATGAAGTGTGACACGTCATACTTCGGGATATTTGATACAAGGTACCAAGGTTGTGACGGGGTCACACAGCCTTGCGCTAGAGGAAGTTGACTTCCGAGTGCATACAAACGCTTAGTGAATGGCAGTTCACAGGTCCCCTTTTACCGAAAGGGAGCGAAGTGACCAATTTACGGTAGTTTAACCAAGCTCAAGCTCAGCCGTGCTGTTTAACCAAGCTCAAGCTCAGCCGTGCTCAAGTAGTTTGTAAACTAAGTATATTTATAGGTAGACCAAGCTTGATTTAAATACAAACTATAAGTCACCTACAGAAAAGCAATGTCATCAGCCAATGGTTGGCTTTGGACGACCTTGGTACCTTGTACCAAATATCCCGAAGTATGGCGTGTCACACTTTATGTAACTAGGGGTCCGCATTTAGGGCTACGTACCCCGTTACATCCTCCCCCACTTAGGTTCGGTTTAGCGACCAATCAGAGTGAAGAAGTGTACGTCACAAGCTTTCATTCTCAAAGTCGAAAACATCAACTTGGCGCGCGAGCGCGGTCGAGGCTCACTTTACAGTTATAGCTTTGAGCAGCAGTCTGTGCGCTCCTCTTCTTGGTCTCCACATCGACCGTTACCATGCCCCGTGGCACTGCGAAGAGCGGTGCGAAGACGCGCTCCAAGGCTGCTGCCGGTGAGGCGCAAGCCAAGAGCACTAAGCCTCACGGCAAAGGCTCGGCACTCAAGGAGGCTACTCAGGTGGCCTCCGAGGCGATCGGTTCCTCGGGTGACGCGGCTGTGGGCAAGCGAACGAGCAAGCGCCGCAGTCCGTCGCCCTCGGCCTCAGACAATCGTCCGAACCCTCGCTTCGTGAAACGTGAGTTCAACTCTGGCAGTGAGGACGAAGCCGAGTCCGGGAGCACGCGCAATGCTCCTGCGGGCTCTACGGGAGGGCACAGCCCAGTGCCCAGTGAGCACAAGGATGACAGCGTGCAGTCGCTCGCTAGTGATCACGGTGATCACAGTCCCAGGACGTCGGTGCGCTCTGAGAGTCCGGCCGTCAAGGCTAAGGGCACTCCCAAAGCCGGTGGCGACGAGGAAGAGAATCCTCGCAAACGTCTCTCGCTTGGGTCTTGCGCGTGCTAAGGCCTCTAAAGCCGAAGGCGCCAAGCTCTCAAAGAAGCGTACAGCCTCTAAGTCTCTACTCCGCGAGAAGAAGGAGACTCAACATATCTATCAGAGTATCTTCGACTCCTCGGATGAAGAGGAGGAGAAGGAGGAAGAAGAGGAGGAGGATGCTATCGCTGAGCCGCGGGAGGTCTCGAATGACCTTGACCAGCAACAGAAGGGATTCCAGGCTGCCCAGCGTGTGCGTGGGGGTTCGGTGGTGGCACGCGTCAGCCAGAGAGCTGCCATCAACTCAAGAGGGTATTGGCCTCCCGAGGAGAGCTCTGGGGACGACCTCTTTCTGGAGCTTCTCGTCGCTTCCCGTGGCCTTGTTGGCGGCCACATGTTTTTGAACGTACCCTTGTCCACGATCGTGACCGACCACGCCGCTCTGAAGTGGTTGATGCCCAGCCCAAACTTGACTGGGAAGTGTGAAGGAGCAGTTGTCTGTTGACAGCTTGGAGGTGGCTCGGTGTGTGCTTCTCGCGCCACACCGTATCCCTCTTAAGGACTTCACAGCGTGTCGTAAGAAGCCCGAGAACCGGGGTGGTCTCCACCCTCTTTGGGGCTACCCCTAAGTTCTTCCCGAGAACTGACCCAACTGGAGTTCTTGTGAGGACATGTTCTGGGCTTGGGTGGGGTCTCTCAACTACTCACCCTGGGAGTTACGGGAACTCCATGAAGATCAGCTGCTGTCCCGCATCCTGGACCAGCGTGATCTTCGTGTTCGGTTTGCCCACATGGTTAGCAAGCGCATGCTGCCAAGGGACATTCTGAAGCGCGCGGCTTCTAGCGCTCACGATGAGCGCGGGTACGGAGTGTCGTCAACGTCCGTACCCCGTTCGGGCAAGAAGCCCTGGACTACTTATGAAGCTGCCGCCGCTTCTGTTCCCAGATTGCGACAGCCTTCGGGCAGTCAATCAGGAGCCGTTCAATCGGCTCACACGAGCTCTCGGAGTGGGCAAAACCCCTCCACTTCACGAGAAGCTGTCGCTTACCGCGACGCCGTTGCTCCTGGAGGATCCGCTCCACGTGGAAGTGGACTTCTCCATTCCGGTCAAGCAGGGGTGGAGGTGCCCTCGTACGAGTACGAGTACTCGGCGCCTCCCGAACGCTACTCTCGTCCGAGTGCTTCTCCTGCGGGTTGACGCAGGGCCCTGAGGTTGACCGCCTTCGTCAACGCGTCCTCGTGCTTGAGATTGCACTTAGCCTTGGGACTGGCGGTGATGCTGCCGCCCAGGCCGGGAATCAGGGCGAGCTCGCTCGTCTTGCGGGCCGCCTGGACCTGTTGTAGCGAGAGGTCGCGAGCCTGCACCTGCGGGTGGATCGCCGGGCCTCTTCGTCCGATCTGGACGATGACTTTCGCATGATCCGACGGATCGAGCTCTGCTGCCACGTCTGGAGCCCCCTGCGGCACACTCCCAGACGTACGCGTATGGTGCGTACCCGGCGTACGGTCTTGACCGCAGCCTTGCGTTTCGACCGAGGCTTGGATGCCTGCTCCGACGCCCTCGTCGACGTCTGTGACCGGCCCTCGCTTCGAGGAGCTGGGTCAAGGTGAGTCTGCGAGTCATCAACCCCCTGCGGATCAAAGTGCCGCTTAAGACGTCCAACGTAGAACGTCGGGTGCGTCGTCATTGACGTTGGCAGGTCGATGGTGTACGACGCACCATGTCTGACCAGGACTGCAAATAGTCCGATGAAACGGTGCTTCAGCTTGTTGCTGCCCACAGAGCTGACAGTGTCAAGGGGTAGGTCTCTCGTGTCTAGCAACACTAAGTCCCTCACCTTAAATATACTTAAGTTTCCTCTTCCATGTTTGTCGGAGTACTTTTTTGTTTATCTTGGGCCGCTGCCATGGCATCGCGGACCCTGCTGACAACGCTCAGCTTGGTATCCATAAAGGATTCCACCTGTTTCCGCAGCGAAACTGGTCTCACATCCGAGACCTGGGAGGAAAGGGCTTTCCGAGCCTCTCCCCCACTTAGAATAGAGGAGTCAGTGTCTCCTCGAAGAGTGCGAGGCACTCTGGGGTGACGGAAGCCGTTCAAGTAGAACGGCGTGAGCCCCGTGGACGCGTGCACCGTGTTGTTGAGCGCAAACTCAACAACTGGAAGCTGCGTCGACCACGTACGTGGTGCTGTCGCGCACACACTGCGCAGGGTGTCCTCGAGCACTCGATTGACGCGCTCTGTCTGGCCGTCTGTCTGCGGATGGTCCGCAGTGGACATCTGCAGACGAGTTCCCAGTAAAGGGAACAGCGTTTTCCAAAACGCAGCAGTGAACCGCGGGTCTCAGTCCGAGACAATCGTCTCCGGGAGACCGTGATAGCGGAACACGCCATCGACGAACAACCTTGCGGTTTGTTCGCCCGTAACAGACGGGAACCGGAGCAAGATGTACCATCTTGCTCGGCCGACACACGAACACCAAAATTCCGGTGTCGCCGTGTCCGTAGGCGGGAAGCCCAAAGATGAAGTCAAGACTCATCGACTTCCAACAGTTAGCCGGTACGGGCAGGCTTTGTAGAAGAGTGCCTTGCGGGTTTGACCCGCTGACATGCTTCACATGTCTTCACGAATCTCACTCGTACATGTGGATCCACCAGAAGACCTGAGAGACCGACAGCAAGGTCTTCTCGTGGCCCAAGTGGCCTCTGGAGGGCGCGTCGTGCGCCTGCGCGAGGATATCGTACTTCAGATCCTCGTCGTTGGGTACGACCACCCGTGGAGGTTCATTGGGCTCCACCCGGTAATAGAGGAGACCAGCCTTCAACTCATATCGGTGGAACCGGGAGCGCTGTCGCGACGAAAGCCAGTCGGACTTCGCGCTCGTTCCTACCATAAGGAGCTTGACGATAGGCGCGACAGCCTCATCGTCCCGATACGCCATGCGTATCCGATCATATAGATCCGTTGTCACCCGCGTGATGTGGGCCAACTCATAGTCAGGACGCCGCGAGAGGGCGTCCGCAAGCACGTTGAGCTTGCCCGGCTTGTATTCGACGCGGAAGTTGTATTCCGCGAAGAAGGACAGCCACCTCGCCATCCTTTGGGAGAGGTGAGGCGAGTTAGTCGCCGTCCTCAAGGACGCGTGGTCTGTGTAGATCCCAAAAGGCGTAGAGCCCAGAAGGTGGACACAAAACTTCACAAGGGCATATTTCATTGCCAGGAGCTCCTTGTCGTGGACAGGGTAGTTCCGCTCGGCGGCTTTGAGCTGCCTGGACTGGAACGAGATGACTCGTTCGTGTCCAGCCGTGTCGGCCTGCAGCAATGCACACCCGATGGCGTAATCGGAGGCATCGCAGACGACGCTAAACGGCTTCGTCTCGTCCGGCAGGGCCAGGACAGGGGCCTCTTGGAGACTGGCCTTAATGCTGTC